AAATAAAGTAGATAGAAGTATCCCGAAAAAATACCTAATAAGACTGTAAATTGGCTAATATTAGAGATGTGAAAAAAGATCATGAAAAACTCATTGTTGAGCATGCAGAAGAAATCATGGTAAAAGTATGTTGAAAAAAGTCATTATTTGTCAAAACAGTCATACATATATATAATATATCATGAAAAAGGTAATAATGTCAAAGAATATATTTTTAAAAGTCCATTTAAAAAAATGCCATGGTTTAGTATGTTGAAACCATCATGAAGAAAAGCCATAATGTTGAGATATAAATGTATATGGTTGTTTTCTGAGGCTCCTCTCCGTCTTCTTTCCTTTGGACTTCTGGAAGTTTGGTTTAAAAACGCAGACACTTCAGAATCACACTTTAAAGTGCACAGAACCCAAACTAAATGGTGACATTTTCATTTGTCCCTGCACAATATCTTGACCTTTGTCATTTCTTAAATACAATTCACATGAAAAAGGCCATGCAGAGGGTCTTCAACCTGAGAGACCTCCGCTGACGTGTTTCACTGAAATAAAATAAACACTTTTGCAGCCGAATGCTTTAATGATTGTTTTTTCTGGAGTACAACCTGAGAAAGGTCACCACACAACCGGCTGCCAAACAGCGCTCAATATGTGAGGAGGAAAGTAGCTGCTGGGGAGTGTGTGTTAGAGCAAGAGAGACGTCTGTGTGTGTGTCAGAGCGGATGGAAACAGAATGAATGGAAATGTGTGTGTGTGTGTGTGTGTGTGTGTGTGTGTGTGTGTGTGTGTGTGTGTTTGTGTGTGAGTGTGGGAAATAAAGCCTGAGAGAAGAACATCCAGACAGAGTAAATGACATCAGCTGTTGGCTTCCTGTGAGTTGGTGGTCTCTCTCTGTCTGTCTCTCTCTCTCTCTGTCTCCCCTCTACGTCTATCTCCCATGAGGACGAGGTGTCGATTGCATAATTACATCTGGGGGCATCACCATGGCAACGTATGAGAAGCCACAGGAGTATGCATGACTCATCACTTAAAAGCTGTTAGGAGAGGAGGGTGACATAGAGAGAGAGAGAGAGCTAGCAAGAGAGAGAGAGGAAACGAGAAGAGGACAAGGGACGATGAGTGGGTGAGGGACAAAGACGAGAGAAGAAGGGAAGAAAAAGACAGGAGGGGAGAGAAGAGACGCAACTAATGTGAACAAGGGAGAAAAACAGAGTGGGTGAAGATTAAGGAGGAGAAGAGAAGAAGAAGAATGAAAACAAGGGGAAGATAGCAGGAGATAAGGAAAGGAAATAAGGAGAGCACACAAGAAGAGTAAAGGTGAGGAGAGGACACAAAAAGAGGAGAGAAGAATAATAGAGGGAAGAGAAAAGGAGAGGAAGGGGAGGAAACAAGGAGAGAAGACACAAAGGGCAGAGTTGAGGGAAGGACAGAAAGAGGGAAGGAGAGGAAACACGAAGAAGTGAAAAGGAGAAGAAACAATAACAGACAAGGAAAGGAGGAGAGGGGAGAAAACAAGGAAAGGGGCAATGACAAGAGAGGAAACATCAAGCGATGAAAAGGTGAAGTAAAGGGAAGCAACCAAGGAGAGGCGAGGAAACAAATGAAGGGACAAGGAGAGTAGGCAAAGATAGAAGAGGGTAGTGGAGGACACCATGGCTGCGTCTCACTTCGGTTATTTTTCATTTCCTTGCTCCTCGCTCCTCGGTATCACCGGAAGTTGATTTGTCTGCGCCATCTTGAGTAGCGTCCCAGTGGCCTTCAGTGGTGAAATCCTCAGACACTCGCCCCGCCCCCTTACTGCGTATCGCTCACTGATTGGACGATGCAGCGCATGCACTGATCTGGCTGCTGTCAGACGATCAGCTGTGCGGCGTCATCACAAACGGACGTCGCTTCACGTGACGCTCCGGAGGAAAGGACGTCCCATTGCTCTTAAAACTCATTTCCCTGCTTCTCGTGGTTTCCTTGCGTCTGTCCATGCTTCCCTGGTGGGAGGGCGTCGTAGGGAAACGACGCAAGTGAGGGACGCAAGGAATCCACTTAACCGAAGTGAGATGCAGCCAAACACAGGAGAGGGGAGAAAACAAGAAGAAATGACAAGGAGAGGAAGCAAGGAGAGCAGACAAGAGTACAGGGAAGGAAATCAAAAGAGTAGACAAGGAGAGGAGATGAGTAGAGGAGAGTGGAAAAACAAGGAGAGGTCATGAGGAAGGCAGAGAAAACAAAGTAGAGAGGAAATGAAGGAAGGAAAACTAAGATAGATCGGACACAACAGGAGATACAAAAGAAAGAGGACACAGACACACAGTTGAATTATGTTTTTTTATTACATCCTCCTCTTCCTCTTTCCACCAGTTCAACCCGACCTGAACATCTAAAGGTCAACAGAATTATTTAACATGTTTACAAATAATAAAGTCCACTTTGTTGTCCAGCAGCCAAACAGATAAACTTTGGCTGACATTAAATAACACTTTAAATAATCACAGAAGTACACAACGGAAAATACGTACAGCAACAATCTGGAATTAAAAAATCCTAATAAAATCTATAACTAAAATCAACAGCAGAGATTTCCAGGACTTGGGAATCATATATATATATTTAGACATTTCTGTATACATGTTTGCACTGTTTGAACATAGAGAACTACGTTAATAAAGGTTATTCAAAGTAATACACGTTTTCTTTGAGTTGAATGTAAGTTTAAAGCTAATTGACATTTCTACCTGAGTATCACTCATTAAAGCCTTAACAAATAGTAATACAGATATCATTTGGTGTGACAGCAGATAATAACTAATAGTTTTTATGCTATTGAAGTGGTTCTTTCCCTAAAATCTGAAATAACGCTACACCACATATTTTCCTATAAGTCCTTTTTAGATACAAAAATACAGCGAGAAATAAACAATGTCTACAAAAAATCTCTTTAAACATTAGTTTAAAGGCACATTTCCAGATGAAATGTGTTTCTATTTAACAGCAGTTTGATTCAGCGGCTCGAGTTACACGATACAAACACATACGATACAAATCAAATGTTGTTTAGTTTGAAAGAATTTAACTAAAAGAATCAGATGGTAACTTGATGGTACAGAGCATTTAGATATAATCCAGATTGTTGACTATAATTTGAGTTAATCTCTGAAATGGTTAACGTGTCGGATTTGATTTTGAAAGAGGCCATTCTCAGGCGGCCATTTAACGAAAAATCCGCTTTAAAAAACTTTAAAGCTCAATAATTAAAAAGTGATTTCCTATGTGTTTCACTTAAACCCGAACGATAGTGCACCCAGCCACGAAATAGTCTGGCTCCTAAAATAGTTATTTTTACACTTACCGTACAAATGAAAGGAGATATGATGTGTTAACAGGCGTTGTAGTTTTAGTAGCTTTGTGCTAAGCTAACGGGCTGTGGCTTCAAATGTAACGGATAAATGTGATTATATTTTACAACCAACATTTCTAAAACTGTTACTTTAAGATTTAACTAACTGCTAAAAGTAAAATTACACAAAATGTCACTTGAATTTCAAAAATAGGCTGTTTTTTTCAGGGTGGGCTGTGATTGGCTGCAGCACAACATGAATCTCAAATGCAAATGAGTGATTGCTGACACTTTGACTCAGAGTCTGAAATGCATTTCTGTAGTCTGAGGTCAGAGGTGAGGCAGCTGGTGTGTGAGGGAGATTTGGAAAAATACACCATCAGCATTTGGGCTTAAAAACAAACATGTGATGTTGTTGTTGTTGTTTCAGCGACGGCAGCATCCAAATTACACTGAAGGCACGGCTGGTCATAGAGTTTGCTTGATGCTCTGCTGGAGCTGGTTTCATGTGTGTGTGTGTGTCGACAAAGGGAGGAGGATCGAGGTAATACTAACAGTTTAAAGTCCAGAGTTTCTAGGAGTGCATCTGAAGAGTCCGTGCACAGTTTGAGTGTTTTTAAACTATTCAGATTCAAAGCAGCAGGACGGAGGAAAAGACGTATGAAAACACACAGTGACGTAGAAACCGAGGTCCTCAGATTGTGTCCTTAAATTCCCAGAAGTCCTTGTGCTTTTCTTTTAAAGAGTTCACTCACTGAAGCCGAAGTTGGCGCCGGGGCTCTCTGTGTTCGGGGAGGAGGGGCCGGCGCTGGAAACAGCACTGGAGGGGACACTGCCATCTTTACAAAACAAAAAACACATCATTCAGTCACTTATCTTTGTAGTCTAAAAACACTGATTGTAATGCAGGTACAGATAGCACAAACAGCTCTGCTCCTAACCTGACACACAGAAACATATTTTCCAATGAATCAGCCATTAAAGGTAAAAAGTTCACTCTTCACTTTTAAAATAATTACACAATCTTGCTTGTTTTTTACTGCTTGATCAGACAAAACAAGCCAGATGAAGACACCTGGAAAATGTTACAAAAAAAACATAAATACAAATAAAACAAAAACAGTGTATCATCACTGACTCGTGAAAATGATAAACGTGTCAGATTTATGCTTTTTGTATTTCAGGCAATTATAAGGCTGCCATTTTGTTTATTTGGTAAACAAAACCCACCCCTAAACAACTTAAAAGCTCAATAATTTAAATGTTAATTCCTATTTGTTTGATTCAAACCAAATTTTTTTACTTTAAGTTCACTCTTGACTCTTTTTTTAACACTTAAAGGTAGGGTAGGTAAGAATGGAGAAACCAGCTCGAGTGCGCTAGAATTTGAAAGTACGCAACCGGGAAAAATCTGCCTCTTCCTTCAGACTTCCTCACAGAGCCCCTCCTCCAACACACACGAACGTGCACATGACCAATGACTGCACGAGGCACACNGTCTAGTGCGTTGGTGTTCGGATCAGGGGAGCACAGGTTCAAACCCCACTTCAGTCAGCATGTCGTTGTGTCCCTGGGCAAGACACGTAACCCCAAATGCCATTTGGGGTTACGTGTCTTGCCCAGGGACACAACGACATGCTGACTGAAGTGGGGTTTGAACCTGTGCTCCCCTGATCCGAACACCAACGCACTAGACCACTGCGCCACACGCCTCCTGAAGGTACGTTTTTAAAGTGTAGGAAAAAACTGCTACTACTTTATGTATCTACTTATTTGCTTTTTGTTTCAGGGGCAAACACAGCAACACAATATTAGGGAGACACTTTTATTTTTAATGACTTTTGTTTTTGTTGTTTGTGACAGTTCTTAATTTTTCCAGGACTCAAGTTAAAGTCAAGTTGGTCGAGTTAACGTCCCAGATTTGATGACATAGGACTCGACTTAAATCAAAAAAGACTTGCAGCTTAACTCGGACTCCAATAATCAATGACTAAGGAATTCACTTCGAGTTCATTCATCTGGATAGAAACATATTTGAAATACTAGATTAGAAATAAAAGAATGTTTTTTAAAAGGTTTACCACAAATCCAATTATTTTCCCTTTTATTCCTTAAGGCTGTTCATCCCCAGCACTTTGTTTGATTCAACATTATCTACAAGTGGCAGGACAGAAAGGTTTAGAAATAATGTAATGTGATTGTATAAAGATACCACAAATCATTTAATTTGCATAGAAAACTAAATGATTTTCACAACAAACAAATGAAAGAATGCAAAATGAGAAGTTTAAATTAGTGTAAACTGCTAAATGACTTGAGTGCAAAAATGTACGACATACTTGCCACTTGCATAAAAACACTTGTTTCCACATCTGTATGCCGAATGACCGTGTTAGCACGCGACATGTTAGCACGCGACATGTTAGCACGCAACATGTTAGCACGCGACATGTTAGCGCTTTAAAAGCACTGCCATGCCCAAATATAGTGCTAGCATGGCTATAGACTTGTGGTCTTGTTTAGTCATTAATAGTAATTTGTTTTCTTTATTTTGAGTACTGTGATGTGTTTTAAAAATGCATTAAATGCATTTACTTACTCCCTATCACTTTGAGATACAGTCTTGACATATAAAACGATCTGTAAATAATAAAAGGAGACATGAAAACACACACAAATTGAGATTTAAATGTACTTTAATAGATGATCACCAGGCTGTTTCCCTTTTACAATGAATCTGAAGTAGTTCTACTTTTACAAGTTAGATTTAAAGACAGAGAGATATTCAATATTGCGCTGAGGAAGAGAAACGTAACTAAGATTAATACAATGCAAAAAGAAAAGAGAGAATCAAACAGAACTACCAATACAGCGTTTCTTAACAACATGTTAACAGGGCAAACAATAAAAGCACAGCCCAGTATTATATTATTATATTACTGTATTTCAGGACCAGTTAAGACAATACGCTTTTTTTGTTCTTTTTTCAAATATACCTCTTTAAAATAGCATTGTATTTGTTATTATTATTTCCATGTTAAACAATTACATTCAGGATTATAACTAAATAAATCACATGCAGAGATTAAATGGATGGATGACACCATGTTGAGATCAAATGAAATCTTCATTTCGATGCAGCGATGGCGATGAGATTGAACTGATAGATTTGTATTTCGTTCTGTATCTTGTCAGTGTTTTATCTTGAAGTAGTTTTGAGAGTATTGTCATTAAAACCGGTTAACAGGACAGTGTGTTATATATCTTTCAGGTCCGTTCTCTCCAGAGCGATATGTACAATCTGTTCACAGTACATACACGTACATGTGGCGTTTGTTTCATTTCATCCATGTTTTGTTTTTTGAGTCTGCATGTGTTTCAAGTCATTTTCAGGAAAAAGTTTACGTTGCATTTAGTACTATTTCTGTGTTAGTGTTGATGTGTTTGTTACGGGATCTCCCTTGCTCTCCGTCCCATCAGAATGACGCAGAACAGTCGTCATGACAGCGTCGTCAAAACATCAAACCGTTTCTGCTCTCATCCTCCGCTCCACACAATGTATTTTCTGTCAAGGCTGGTGTGTTTTGTTTTTATTTTTATTTATTTTCTCTATTGTTTTGATCCAGCAGCATTCGCATGGTAGTACCAACTCAACATTCAGAAAAATAGATCTCCTCTATAGTGCATTCAGCTTCTGCATGTGGTCACACAGTTCAGTATCGAGCGATTCACAGCGTTCTACTGGTGCCTTGAAAACTTCAAGACTGGGTATTTGGAATCTGCCAACTTAAAGACCATTTTTTAAAGACACTACATATCCGACCCTCCACAAAATCTGACTTCCAGACAAGGACTTTCTAACAGAGTCAATGTAAACCTTTCCTCTCCTCTAAGTGTGCCCTCCAGTGTACTTGTGCGTTCTCCAGCTGTTTAATATACAACCTCCCCAGTGGGATAAAATAAGAAGTCTGCCTCGGATTCATCACAAGCATGAGATGCATATCGAGGCTCAGAAAGTGCATAATGGACAGTGTAATGTTAGGGGAGGCCAGGCAGAGCAGAGAGCACGGAGGCTTGGGAAGATGAGGTATAAAGAAGTGTGAGCGTTACACAGGGAAAGAAAATGGCACAAACTCTGACAACACGCTCTAGCTGTTTTTGAAATAGATTGAGAGAAATTGTTAAGTTTAGTTAAACTATACAAGCAGAGGATCCTTTCTGCTTTTAGTTGGCAACATCTGGATCGATCAATCGCTCAAACAAAGTGCTTTCTGTAAATCCAAGCCTCCTTTCCTCCATCGCACACACTGGCCTCTTATCAGTCCTTAACACACAAAACAACAAGCCTGTGATGAGCCATGTCGGCAGAAATGTATTTCTTAGAAATCAAATATAATAAATATTAGTAAAAGAATACAAATCAAAACAAAATTATTTTTAAAAAAGTAAATTATTTTGTTAAATCTTGATATAAATAAAGAAATAAAACGTGGCCTCGTTTAAAATCAATGTGAGCGACTCTCTAATACGGCTGTGAAGACGCAGAAAGACCTTTCATGCTGAACCAGTTCAGAGGACTCACTAAAACATCAGCGTCAGAAAACAGTGTGTATCGAGTGTGTCATATATCACACACACACACATACACAACTATTGCAAAGACATTCACTTTAAATCAGCGTCCAGCACATAATCATTCATGCTCGTTCTGTAATAAATATTTCTCTGGGAATAATATTGGGAATAATTGCTTCTTTATATATAAGATAGACTGTTTTTACATAATTTTATATTACAGGTAAAAGTTGTTTTCTATCACCACACTCGCTCTCTGTGCTCAAACTACTTCCTCCCAACCCTAACTCTCAGAAAATGACATTCCTATCAGGTGCAAGACTTCGCTCGAAGACATTCATATTTGTTTAAAAGTGGCTTTAATGCTGAATTTGATTAAAGAGCTCTTTAGTTATTGAGTGTATTATTTCAGAGTGTGGATACGGTTTGTGCGTACTGGTATAAACGGACTGGTCCTTTGTTGTGTTCTTGGTTTCTTTCTTTTCCCCTGGTTTCTCGCTCCGCCTCACAATGGCTGACTTGTCCTCCAATTACCCCTTCCTCTTTAAAACCTCAAACTAAAGGCACATGAAAAACGCCTCCTGTAACACCCACTTGTTGTCATGAAATACAACCCCAGTGATAAATATATATTAGCGTTCCCACTTCTAACTCTCGCTTCGGTTGCTACATTAGTCACATGTACATTATTTTCCTTTCTCGTCACTTTGTGATACTGACAGAGACATGTTGCTGAACACGAGGAAATGACAGATCATTCTACATGAACCTTCTTCTCAAATGCATAATCAGAAACATTGCATTCGCTTCATCATTTTCTGCATTATTCCTAATTATTGAACATAACCTCTGTATTGATATAGACACATGTTTGTACTGGAGGTCATACAACACACACACAGAGCATGATGAAGACATCGTCCTTCTGCCTATTGAATCACAGCCAAACAGCGTATCTACTCTAAACTGCATCCACCACTTGGCTAAAGAAAGGGTTAACCCTACGCAGTTCTGAACGATTTTCAGCTAAAAAACGCAAGCACCATGCAGCAGCTTAAGAGAGAAAGCCGAGAAGTAAAATCTCAAACAGTGGCAACCTCAGGCACCTCCTAAAACTTCACCACAAACTACAAGAAGTGTTGTTTTTTTGTCTTTTACATTACATCGATTTATGTCGTATGTATTGAGTAAATCCAGCAGCTACTGATCAGAATTGCAAATCATGTGCTTTGAAAAGAAAACCGAGGAATGTTTCCTCTTTGAAAAACACTGAATACAATCCAAACACTTTTTTGATCACTGATTCAGGTAACATTTGATTTACTTTTTTTTAATGTTAGATGATTAGATTTCTGAGTTTATTGGGAATAAGCCAACAGTTTAAGAACTACACTTCTGTCGTGTAACTGTGGCTGTAAACACGTATCAATGCATCTGATATACGAGTCTAATAAAGCGTCATTATGTTATTAAAAATGTGTTTTCACCTAGTGCTCGAGTACGAGTGTTTTAGGGCTTACGGTTACAGATGAAAAAACCTAACTGACACATGAAAGCATAAACCCACAATTTTGACTTTGATTTCAGCGAACAGAATCTAGTGTGTTGAGCGCTGCGGAAAATTCATTGAGAGCTTTGAAGCTTTGAAGCAGCAGAGAGTGCTGGTCGCTCCGCTTTGAGTGAGAACAGATGAGAGGGAGGGGAGAGATGGGAGGGGGGGTCACAGCGGGGGGAGTGTGAAGCTCGTGAAGCTCAGAACTCGATCTTGCAGGCAGAGAAGGACTCGTCCTGCATGACCACGGTGCTGCTGGAGGCCAGGACCATGATGTTCAGGTCCTGCTGCTTCTCGTGGGTCTGCTGGTACCATTCCCGGGTCACCTCCGAGTCGTGGGTCGGGATCAGAGTCACCTGACGGGGACACAATACATTTAATTTAGCCGATGGTTTGATCCAAAACGAGTTACAATAAGGGCATTTCATTTTTTGTATTGTTTTATTTTAACCTATTTTAATTTCTTGTCAGCTTTCATTCAAGGGCATTTCATTAGGATCACTTTGGATGTTTCATCTTGTTCTGCATTTATTTAATATTGTTGTTGTGTTTTCTGTAAAGCACTTTGGGCTGCTTTGTGTATGAAAGCTGCTAAAGTTCATTATTATTATTCAACCATGGAGAAACAAACTGGAAAAGGGTTATTTCCTATCTATAAGCCCAACCACATTAAGTGCTACTGCATTAGCTTCACTTAAAACCAAATCCTCTGTAAGTGCTACGAACAAAAGAGATGTTTTTGTTGTTGTTGTTGAAATGCAGTGAAAACATGTGAGTTTTCAGTCTGCGATACAAAGTTAGAGGGAAGTGAGGGGACATTATTATACAGCAAAAAGTCCAACACTGTTCTTATATAACATTTGTATTTCACTATCTGCAGATGGACCTGCAGGATCGGTCAAGTGAGCGAGAGAGCCAGGAACAGAGGATATTTTAGGTCCTCATACAGATTGATGCCGCATGCAGATATTTGCAAGGTCAGGAAAATATAGAACATTAATCATTCTCTCTAAGCTAGCACAGAACAGAACCATACAGCACAATACTGCTGAGCGAGGAAGGGATACTATCCTCATTGTTTCCAGGATAGCAGTTTGTTAATTGCAAATGCGTCACAATGATATAAACTAAGACTTTTTAGTTGATCAAAGTATAGTAAACGTTTGTTCAAGTGTGTTGCTGATGTAACCAGTTAGAACTCAAAGTAGTGCCGACATTTAAAAAAAAATTGACACCTTTGAACAGTACAAAAGAGAGCACGCACTATTGAAACACTTGAATGCAGTGAATGTGAGAAATGGAGGCGCAGACAGACTGATGGAGGTTGTACCTGTGAATTGGAGCCCCACTGAGCCTTGCCCTCCAGCAGGGCGTCCAGGACNGTGTGCCTTGGCAGTCTATGTTTGTGTAGTCCTGTGTATTTCCAATGAAAGCTTACATTATTCATATCATTGGAGAGGACACTTTGTTGTTGTTTGAATTGCATTATAATTGCTTTCTAACTGAGCATGTGAATGTGACTAACGGTTGAAATTCAATTGGATATCTGGGTCTAAACATCTGCTTCTTGCTTCATTTAAAATGTCGAAAAGAGTAAATATCAAGTTTTTAAAATGTCTGATTTCAATCTTGGTGGATCAAATGGTCCTTTCTTTTGTCTGTTGTGCCTTTGTCTGGTTTGAATGTGCCCTGGCAATCAAGTTACATGTAAAATCATGTTGTTGGACGTGAAGATGTTAACCAACCTGAACTGCTCTTGACGCCGTTGACCAAGCCTTTCCCCGGGCTGAGGATCTCAGTCCTGGAGCCTTGAGTCTCGGACATCTTGATCAGCCTGGAGCTTCTGTCCGTGTCCTTCCTCTTCAGGGACGCTGATCGAGGTGAGGAGGAGTCCTTGGAGGCCTGCTTCGATGGAGTAGAGGACCTCTTCCTGACTTCGCCCTTACGGGAAGGGGAGGCCGATTTGGGTTTGCTCCTCCTGAGGCCCTTGGTGGTTTTGTGCTCCTTCTTAAGAAGTTTCTCAGTGCTGCTGTTGAGAAGAGCTTCTGGATCCACCATGCACACATCTGGGTGCGGAGGGTGGGGATAAGGGTCCTTCATCGCGGTTGGAGCCGGATCATGAGTCTTCTGCGATGACCTGGGTGATGAAGGATGGTGTCCACCGCCAGCTGCAGATAACTTGTCCACGGGAAGATGTTCAGCGTCCTCGTCCGAGTCCAGATTCCCTTCGGCCGTGATGGACGGACACTCTTCGGTTCCTGGAGGGACGTCAGAATCCGACTGCGAAGGCAACGACTCGCTCACTGACGTCGGAGGAGTTTCCTCCCCAGCTAGAGTCACTGCCAAACCAGAAGACATGGGGCCGGGCAGCTGCTGAGGCGCCTGTCCAGAGTCCCCATGAGCACTCTGGGCGTGGTGGGGCTTCTGCTTGTGCGACCTCCTTTTTACAGAGTGTTGCTCCTGATCGTCCTCGTCCCCTTCCTCAGAGTGTTCACTGCGTCCTTCCTCCTCGCCCTCGCCCTCGTCACTGGACGGCGGGTGAGGGCTGGGGTTCATGAACGATGGAGAAAGGTCTCCTTTGCGGTGTTTGTATTCGCAGGACGAGTAGCCTGGATGGGAGGAAGAGGAGGTGGCTCCGGTGTTCAAGTCAGAAGGACGATCCGCCCTTGCTGCTCCTTTGCCGGATGCTTCTGTGTGATAGGCATCTTTTGAGGAGGACATAGAGGTACCGTGGGCACTGGTCCTCCATTCCATTGCTTCCTCATCCTCTTCGTCCTCATCGTCATCCCCGTAACCCGGAGGAGGGGCACTTGGGCAGTCTTCAGGCCTTTGTAGTAGCTCCCAATCAGATATACTGCTCCTTCTCCTTTCCACTAGTCTCTCTGGTGTCTTTTCCGACAAGCTTTTCTCCTCGTCTTCCTTCCAATCTCCTGCTTTTTCACACATCTGTGTATCAGTTGTTGCCTTCTTCCCCTCTGAGCTGTCTTTACACATTATGCTTTCACTGTCTTTAGCCGTCTCTGCCTTTTCAACACTTCCTGACACCTTAGCGTCGTCCTTCAAAGCTGCATTGGTCTTTTCCTCTTTGACCTCCATTGTTTTGGACGCCTCTGTTGTGGCACATGTGGTTTTGCTGGCTCCACTATCACTCAGTGAAGGAAGTGAGGCTGTCTGTTGCGATGTTTCAGGTTTAGACACATACGCAGAGGTGATGGTGACTGCCTTGGTCTCTGTGGACTGAGTGGTACTTTCAACCACATGTGAGTCAGTTATCGAGGGAAAACTCGGCTCCTGCTGTGCTACTTTGACAGTTTGACACATAAAACATGGTGGGGCGCTGTCCTCCATTTCAAGCGTTACAGGCTCTTCTTCTTCTGATGATTCTTGGTATACCTTGTCAGATGAGTCAGCCCTTTGGAGGGGAGAGACATCAAAGCAAGCCTCTGATGAGGACAAACCCTCGGACACCTTGACTTGGCTTTGTAAAGAAGGTGCCGCGGAGGATGTGGTCATCCTAGTTTCTAGCATGTAAAAACTATCAGTGCTCGACTTTGTGTCCGTTTCAGGCTTTGCAGAACCACGTTGATCCATAGTCTGTTTGGCAGTGGTAGAGAGGACTGATGATGATGGTTTGGTATCATCAAACTGTCTGGGTAAAGACACTTTAGTTGTAGGTTTAGTCGTCACCTCCATGTACTCATCTCTCTGAAACCCTCCAAAGCAAGAGCTCGAAGACTCAGCCCTGAACGATGGTTCCTCTTCGGCTAGAGGTACAGTAGAGCCTGATATGGTTTTAGCTTTGTCTCCAGACTCTTGGCTCAAAGGGCCGGACATTGAGGCTGAGGATGAGTAACTGTACGATGTGGAGGAGAATGTTGAAGTAGAGTATGTTAGGGTGGTGTATGTGCAAGGTGAAGAGGCAGTTTCCTTGTGTTTTGCGGTGATCTCTAAGCTCCGCCTCTCGTCTAGACTTTCTTCTTGGCTGTAATGTTTATCATCGCTTAGCTTGGATAGCTGGGAGGCCTCTGAGGTTTCTTTCTTATCTTCTTTCAATCCCGCCTGACTTCCCTCACTGTAAAAATGCTCAGAATAATCTCCAGGTCTACTCTGTCCGATGTCGGCATAGCTTCCTCTTAGAGGAAGGGAGGGACTGGATGAAGGTACAGACTCTGAATGGTCAGGTGGTAAAAAGCTGGATGTTAAGGTGCTGGCGGGCATTGGGTCAGTATCCTTTTTCAAAAAGCTTGGTGATAGAGACTCTTTGTCCTCATCTCCCTTTGTTGTCAGTAGGGCTTCATAGGAGGTATCCTGAGCCGATGATAACCTCCTGTTTGAGGTTGGTTCAGGAGACAAATGCTCTTTCTTAGTCTCAGGAAGTTTGGGGAGATCTGATGAAGTGAAATGGATTTCGTCCATTTTGTAAGGGTCTGGTGATGAAGTCATTTGACCAACATCGTCACTCTTTGTCTCGGGGACTTTTGATGTGGCTGCGTCGTCTTCTTTGAGTGGTTTTGTTTCAGGCGATTGTGGTTTTCTGCTTCCCTCCTGCTGGTCTGAACATGAGGCTTCACCAGTGCTTGGTTGAGAGACTGTTTCCTCTTTAAGGACGCTTGATTCAGACAACTTTTTATTTGAGTCCTCCACCTCTGCTAACACAGCACTGTCACCAGAGGTACGTCTGCACATTTCTTTTTCGGACTGTTCCCTTGCGCCCTTCTCCATATCTACATCGCTTAACTCCTCGTCTTCATCCTCATCTTCGTCATCATCTTCGTCTTCATCATCATCCACATTGAAATCTTCGCCTTCTACAAGTAATCTTTTATCTATAAAGCTCTCTTTTCCATCAGGAAAGTCTAAAGTTGGGTTACAGGAGGCAGAGCTGCTCATTTGACTGTTGTCAGATGCCAAAACATTATCATCTACTTCCTGTCCTGAAAAGGTGGCGGCAGACACAGGCCTTGAGGTTTCTTCTTTCTGTAAAGGTGTTGCTTGTTGAGGTAAAATGTCTTTTTCTGCAGGTGAATGCCGACCAGATGCAGATTTTTCTTTGAGCGACTCAGCAGATTTTTCTTTCTCTTTTTCGGTTGTTTTCTTTTCTGTAAATTCCTCAAAAGCTACAGGAGTCGCTGAAACTTGAGTACCGAGATCTGACTGGCTCCATGAGGGAGAGGGTGTCTCCTGTCTTAGTGGCACACTTGGTGATTGAGCAGATGAACTGCTATCACTTTCTTGTGTCCCCCCTGTTGGAAAAGCCGCAGCTGAAGCCCCTTCCATCATATCTTCCTTTTCTTTTTCAGATTTCTCCGGTTTGTCCTCTTTAGGAGTGAACGAATAAGACTCAGCAGCCTGGGACATTTTGTTATCCTGCATGTCTACGGATGAAAAGCTCCTGTCAACATAAGGTGTATCTGGTCTCTCTTCTTTCTGGCTTTCTTCCTCCTGGCCTTTCTCTCTGTCTTCATATCTAGGTGAGGCACTTGGACTGTGGTGGCTGCTTCTTTCACTTTCCGTCAGAGACACCGGGCTGTAGTCGACTCTACTGAAGGACAGAGGCTCTTCTTTGTACTGATCGTCCAGGAGGAACATGGCTCCTCCAGCCTCTGTCTGGCTTGTTCTTCTGTTATCATCAATACCAATATCAGAGGGGTGTTCGAAACCTAAAGAAACCTCACTTTCTTCCCTAGAGTCCGAGTCATGATCCTTTGGAATGGGCTTTTCATACGGATCATATTTGGACGCACCAAAGGTTGGCTTTTCTTCTCCGAGGCTACCCATGACAGTCTCTGGAGTCAGTGGTGCGGCGTCAGAGGGGCTCCTGTCTTCAGAGTCCAACGTGAAGTAGGAACAAGGCGGTGCTAATCCAGGAGAAGCCACCTCTCGCTCTCCTTCCATCTCCCTCTCTGCTTCCTTTCCTGCTTTCTCTTCTAGTGCTGTCTTCTCTGCGGCGTTGCCTTCTGAAGTAAACAGGGATGGTGTTTGTTTCTCTTTTCGAGGTGTTTCCTCCACACTGGACTGGCTCTCAGCGCCGGAGAGCGTTGAGCTCCGCGGTTGACTGTCGGTGCTCGATACCGTGGACAACGCAGGCTTTTTCTCATCTGACATTGGTTCTGCTTTAGACGCGGGGACATCAGAAGCTGTGTCTTGTTTGGGAACAGTGGTTGTGTCCTCCTTTGATGTGACAGTGTCAAAAGAGGGCTTTGCAAATGGTGCAACCGTGGTTTGTGTTTTCACAACGCCTTTCCCGGCTTCAGGGGAAAAACTGTATTCTTCTTTTTCAAACTCATCAAGAGAAGGCTCCTGCATTGTAAGAGTTGGTATGATCACTGTGACGGATATCGGTGGTTTAGTCGGGTCACTTGTGTGTGGTTTTTGGGGCGAGGGAAGACCTACCGAGGGGATGTCATGTTCTGGTTTCTTCAGATCTACCGACAGAGGTCTGGAGCCGGCTCCTCCCATACAAATGTCCTCCTCGTCTACATCTTCGCTGTCTTCATCGGAGGACTGAACCGCAAATGCAGGTTTGCAATCTGACTTGGACGCTTCTCCTAATGTTGTCTCTGCAGGTTGTTCAATGGTTTTCTCCAGGTCTTTCTCTTGTAACTCCTCTTTCTCCCACTTCTCCTCCTTAGTGTGTTCGGCATCAGAGTCTTTCTCAGTGATCTCGTCCGTCTTCCTGTCACCTAAGTCCTTTTCTTCACTCATCTTTTCCTCTTTGGTGTCATCAGTCTCATATGTGTATTCCTTTTCCTGTTCTTTTTCCATTTTCTGTTCTTTGCTCAGTTCAGCAACATGTGTGTCGTCCTTTTCTTTCTCTGTCTTCTCTTCGTGACTGATAACAACCTTTGTATCTTGGTCTCTCTCTTCCTGACTCTGGCTTGGAGACAGGTCTTTACTTGATGCAGTTATAGAAGTATCTTGCTGCATTGACGTAGCTCCGAAAGTTCCCTTCTCTGTCTGAGCTTCACCAGACTTCTCAGAGATGTCTTGTGGCTTATCACTTACGTCGCTGATATCATCCTTTTTGGTTTTATCCCCTTCCAAGATCCAAGACACGGGAAGGTCTACCTCTTTTTTCTCATCCTTCTTACATTCAGGCTCAAAAGAATAATCCTCCTTTTGTTCTTTCTCATCCTTGGCACTACATAATGGAGACTTCTCGGTCTCCAGTTTGATTACCACGTCCTTAGGTTGTGCAACACTGGAGTCTGTTGCTTTCTCTTTGTCATCTTGTTCAGTGTCCTTATCCTTTACGTCTTCACTTTTGGCTGAAGTACCAATGTTCTGCTCCTTAGATGCAAGCTCAGAACTCTTTTCTTTCATGTCTTGTTCGAATATGTCATCCTTGGGTACATCTTTTGCTTCTTCCTTGATGACTTTTACATCTTTTGCTTCTTCCTTGATGACTTCTACATCTTTGACCTCTTCCTTGATGACTTTTAGATCTTTTACCTCTTCCTTGAGGACTTCTAAATCTTTTGCTTCTTCCTTGATGACTTCTACATCTTTTATCTCTTCCTTGATGACTTCTACATCTTTTGCTTCTTCCTTGATGACTTCTACATCTTTTGCTTCTTCCTTGAGGACTTCTACATCTTTTGCTTCTTCCTTGAGGACTTCTACATCTTTTGCTTCTTCCTTGATGACTTCTACATCTTTTGCTTCTTCCTTGAGGACTTCTACGTCTTTTGACTCAGCCTTGATGACTTCTACGTATTTTGCTTCTTCCTTGAGGACTTCTACATCTTTTGCTTCTTCCTTGATGACTTCTACATCTTTTGCTTCTTCCTTGAGGACTACGTCTTTTGCTTTTTCCTTGATGACTTCTACATCTTTTGCCTCAGCCTTGATGACTTCTACGTCTTTTGCCTCAGCCTTGCCCTCATCCGCAGGGCTTTTCAAACCATCTTTGCTTTCTTCATCCTTCGTACCAGAAATGCCATCCTTACTTGTCACTGTAGGTTCCTCCTTGTCTACTGCTTTCTCTTTGTCCTCTTCCATACTTGATTTGACAGCACAGATATCTTTACTGATTTCTTTCTCCTTATCATCGTGTGTTGTTGGTTTAGCAACAAAGTCTTCCGTTGATGTTTTGACGATGTCTTTGCTCATCATGACATCCTGTTCATCCATCTTGGAAGTGTGGTCTTTGTGTGTTTCTTGGTCCTTTTTGTCCTCCATGACTGGTTTTACGCCATCCTTAAGTGTCTCGTTTGAGGGACTATCTTCCCTACTGGTCAGTTTCTCTCCAGCTTCTGTCTTGGTAAGTTTAGTCGCAGCAGTATCTTCTTTAGTCCCGTCTTCCTTCTTCTTCTTCTCTTCTTCTACAGTAGGTTCGAAGGTGCTAGCATCCTCCTTGCTTGTTGTCATATCTTCTTCGTGCTCCTGTGTTTCATAGATATCCTCTTTACCCGTCTCTCTCTCTTGTTCTGCAGTTGGCTTGGGAGCAGACATGTCCTCTTTCCTCAGAGCTGAATCCCTTTCCTGCACTGTGGTGGGGCTGGTGGGCGAGATAGCATCTTTACAAATGTCTTGCTCATATTCTTCTTTCATGATAACAGCAGACGTATCAGTCTTACTAATCAGTTCTTCTTCTTTGGTGAGTTGAGCCCCAGTAATGTCACCCATCTCTTTCTCTTTCTCCTCCCCAGTAAAAGACTTAGTATCAGATATTTCTATCTTTCCCATCTCTTTCTTATCCTCAATCACTTTTATATCAGATGTTTCCGCCTCCTTTTCCTCATCTTTAGCTTGCTCAATGATGGGCATGGCGTCCTTCTTTAACTCTTTTTCCATCTCGTCTTTAACAGGTTTGATATCTGTGGTTTCGACCATTTCAATCTCTTTCGCTTCGGCCTTTACAATCCTAATATCAGAAACATCTCCCTTGTCCGTCTCTTTCTTTTCCTCGTCTTTCAGAATCTCACTCTTAGACACATCGTCCTTTTTAACCTCAGTTTCCACAGCTTTGGTTTTGAGGTCATCATCTTTCTGCTCACCTTTGATTTGTGTGACCTGAGCAGTTTCCACCTCTGCTTCTTCAGTAGTTTTGATGTCAGTTTGATCTTTTCCAGGCTCTTTCTGTTCATCTTTAATAGCGCCATCCACTGCGGAAAGGTCCTTTGCAATTTGCTCTTCCTTCATGGGTTTAATATCTGAGGCGATCCCCTTGACAACCTCTTTCTCATCCGTGAAGAACATGACGGCAGAAACATCTTCCTGGGTAACAGATTTCCGTTTTTGCTCATCCTTCAATTGTATGATATCAGAAGTGTCGTCCATTTCTTTTTCCTGTTCCACCTTAACTGCAGATTTATCATCATGATGGTCGTCATCATCATCGTCATCATCATCATCATCGAGGAAAGTGCTCTCCCTCTCTGGAAAGGTACTTGGCACTTTCTCTCTGAGAGTAGAGTCAACCTCTTCATGGATGTGTCCAGAGGAGATGAGGGAATCCCTTCCTAACACGGGCGACTGAACATCTGTTGAAGACGCAACAGCAGGGATTGTTTCTGTGTCTTTGCCTTCGTCTTTTTGCACTGATGAAGAGTCCTTCTCTAACTCCTTCATCACTGGAACCTCCTTTATGTCTTTCTCCAAAGATGTGGGAACGTCCCCTTCGAGTTGACCTGGTTTCTGTGTGTCCTTTTGTGTCTCTGCTTCATCCTTCTTCGTAGTTTCATTTGTTGTGACGACATGGAGGACCTCCTCTTGCTTCTGCTGCTCCGAATCAGGGCTCGCCTTCGTCTTGTCCTCCACTGGGGACTGACGAAGAGGAGAGTGAGCTGCACTCGGTGGTCCAGAGTGAGGAGGAGAGGCCATTTTCACAGTGATATCATCTGGACTGAAGCAGCGCTCTTCGCTCTCTGAAGTCACTGAGTCCGACCCGAAAGGTCTAGTAGGCACAACGGAGGAATGATCTTTAGGCGCAACGGCATCCAAGTTCTCTTCTTCAATCGGAAGGTGGATCGGTTTGGTTTCCTTGATAGAAGTGATATCAGTCGGTTTGGTTTCCTTGATAGAAGTGATATCAGTCGGTTTTGTTTCCTTGATAGAAGTGATATCAGTCGGTTTGGTTTCCTTGATAGAAGTGATATCAGTCGGTTTGGTTTCCTTGATAGAAGTGATATCAGTCTCTTTACCTTGTAGGAATTGGGATGAAGCATATCCCTCTTGGAGCTTCTCAAGTGACATGTCAACATTAGGAGTTTGGTCTTCATCCTCTTCCTCCTCCTCCTCTTCCTCCTCCTCCTCTTCAGAGCGAGCTTCAGGAGCTTTAGTCGATGTCTTGACTTCTGCAACCGGAAGGTGCAAGTCATCAGATGGAGACTTGATTAGTTTGTCTTCTTCTAGAGAAGGTGGAGAAATAGTTCCTGCAGAGAGTGGCTGCTCTTTGCCTTGGCTGGCGTCAGGCGTGGAGGCGAGGGGGCTTTTAGGCGGCTCCTCGGCTCGAGGAGTTGCGACAGAACCCCCGGAATGATCCTCGGCGATAGAAGTCGGAAAGGAGCACACTTTGTCGTACTCGGTGATGGACGTCGCAGAAGACACGTGCTCCTCTTCGGCCAGAGGAGCCGTGATGATGCTGGTGAACACCGATAGCTGCTCCTGCACGCCCGGGAGGAACGTCTTCTCCGTCAGAGCTGCAGCTTGAATCTCCGTCATGCCGGGAATGTTCACAAAGGATCCGGTTTGATCTGGAACAGAGATGTCGTAGGCACCGACGTCGTATTGAAGGTGTGGTATCCTCTCCTCGGCCTCCTCGTGAATCTCCTCGTCAGAGATGGTCTGTTCCGTCTCGGAGTATCCGGGGATGGTCTCGTCCTGGATGTAGGAGACGGGTTCAGCTGCAGTGGCTCCTTGAAGTACGGAAGTGATGGGAGCTGTGGCGCCTCCAACATGTGACAGGTAGCCCTCCTCCTCTTCCTCTTCTTCAGCTGCATCTTCAGGTTTGATCTCTTCATCTGCTATAACGTCTAAATCTTCTACCTCCTCCAGTTCGGCTTTCTCCAGCACCTCTTCCTCGTCTTCCTCTTCGAAGGGAATATATTTTGTCGCAACCTGAGCTGCCAGCTTTCCTGTTTTCTCCATTTCTTCTAACTCGTGTTTCCTGTCAAGCCCGTCGTCCTTTGCGTCCTTCCATTTTGCTTCGTCCTCCTCTTCACCAATTCCCATATCTTCTTCTTCCTCCTCGTCCGTTGTCTTTTTAGCAGCTGGGGACTCGTCTTCCTCCTCCTCTTCTTCATCCTGAGAGGCTGCTCCTTCGTCCTCAAACTTTTGAGCGTCTTCCATTTCTCTCAACTCTTTGTCTTTGTCTTCTGCTTTCGCTTCTGGGGCCGAATCATCCTTTTCTGGAGACTTAGGCTCGGCAGGTTCGGTCGCAACGGACTTCTTCAGATCTTCAAAGTCCTTGGTGAGGTCTTCAGGGCTCGTGGTGACGGACGTGAGCTCAGCAGCTCCGTTCTCTGTGGGCTCAGGTTGGATCGTCTCAGGCTCTTCTGGCTTCGGCTCAGCAGGTAACGCCTTGGCTACCTTGCTTTTTCCACTCTTAGCTTTACTTGTGGTTTTAGCTTTGTGTAACGTCTTCCTGACCTCCGGTGTAAACGTTTTCAGCTCAGGTTTGGTCATTTTCCTCAGCTCCGGTTTGGACGAGTCCTTCTTCTTGTCGTCTTTGGACTTAACATCTTTCGAGTCATCTCTCTTTACTTTCTTGATCTCTTTCTTTTCCTTGTCCTTTTTCTCATCCATCTTCGACACCCTTTCCTTCGGGTGCTTTTTTATCGATTTTTCTTTCAGGAGCTTTTTCTTTTCCGGGACATCACTTTTGGATTTGATGATTTTAGTCGGCTTTTTCTCTTCTTCTATATTTTCCTTGACAGAGTCACTCTTTGCCTCGGTGGCGGCTGAGACATCGTCTTGTCCTTCGGTTTCTTTCTTTGAGGCTTTTGCAGTAGTCTTCGGGGACGACTTGAGACTCTCTTTGCTGTCTGTTCTTTGTTTTAATTTGGTTTGTTTGATAACAGAGGCAGGAGCTCCGGAGGCAATGTCCTTTTGTGTGGCGACAGGATAGCGCAAGAAGTCAAGGTGTTTCAATTTTTCTAGGCCTTCCAGGATCTTGTTCTGTGGTGCGTTCCCAGGGAACAGCACTCTGATGATCTTTTCTGTAGGGTTGGCAGGCAGCCAGACAACCAACGCTGTAACTGATGTCAGGTAGGGCACAGATATTTCTCCTTCTTTCCCGTTGGGCAGAATAATACCAGTTTTGGCCTTGCTGTTTCCAGCCCACTTCTGCATTAAAAACTGCATCTCTTTACTATCTTTGACAGGGTTGAGAACATACATGTCCAACTTGCCCACTCCCATCTTGTGGAACAGAGTAATGGGCTCTATGGTGTTGCTGGACACTCGGAAGAGAGGTTCCGGTTTGATTCCTAGTTTACTCAGGTACTGCAAAGTCAGGGAGGCTTCTTCGATGCTGCGCTTCACTTTAAGATTAGATTCAGGCATACGGAGCTTCTCGGGCACGTTGAAGAAAACCACACCCAGTTCAGGAGAGATCAGGTTCTTCATCCAGTCGTTGTAGTTGACGGAGCCTTGAGAATGCTCCTCCTCTTGTTCTGCTATCTTCCTCTGAAGCAGCCCATTGATACCTGGGAGATTGTCGGCGCCGATGTGTGTGAGCAGAACCGAGTCAATGCGGTCCAAGTGACGGACCAGCTTCCAGAAGCATGACTTTCGTTCAGAGCCTCCATCCACTAAGATGTTGAAGCCATTCACGGCAAAGAGAGCCGAGTCTCCTCGCCCGCCGGGAAAGATGTAGCAACACGGTTTGGAGAGTTTCAGGAAGCCTCCGGACGTGGGAGGCTCCAGGAGCTCAAAAGGTGAGGGGACGTCCACCGTCTGAGAGACATACTCGGTGAACTCGGTGACGCCCTCCATCTTGGGAAGAACAGACTCAGGGTTTAGTTTGTATTCCAGAAACTCCCTCAGGGTCTGATGTTGTCCCAGGGAGCTCCAGCCCACCTCCCCGCGGCAGGACACAGTGAGAGTAGCCTGCTGCTTCGGGGCTGCGGAGCCCAGCAACTCACTGACCTGCAGGAGGGACAAACCCAGACAGAGAGTCAGTAATGCAATGAGGCAAGATGGTAGACCTGTGTTTTCAAGACATGAAAAAAAAGGCAAGTAGACCATTTTGTTAACTCGAATGTGAGATAAGTGGGGGCTGGACATTAACATACATAAAGCTATTTGTGCAGATTCAAGATTTAAGATTTGTATTGTCATGTGTACATAGCTACAGTGTGGTTATGACAATGAACATCTTAGGTCACAGGCTCCTAGAAATAGTGCAGAATAGTCTACATACAAGTAATTGGAATATTGATATATATATATATATATATAAGTTGCAAACAGATGAATGTTTATTTGGCCACATTATTTTGTTGTCTACAGTGCCAGTATACATGTTCCTAAATGGTATCAGCATGTACCTATGCTTTCATATTTTAAGGAGAGTTCACCCCAACAATCTGAAATCTATTTTTCTTCTTTCTATGACCCGGATATTCAAGATAATCCACAGATCTCGTTGTAACCAGTATCCTGTAGGAAACATTTTCTACAGAACTAAATCCACAAACCGTATCACCATGCAGAAGAAAGATTGACATCTAGTAATGGGCCTTTGCTCACCCATTGGAAGGTGTAATGCAGTAGAACAAGTACAACAAGGTCTGTGGATTAGTTGCTTACTAGTTAGTTGAGTAACAAGGTCATGATTTCTGGAAAGAGAGTGTTTTAAATGTATTTTTCGGGGGGTTTGTGACATCACAAGCCTAGTGACATCATGTTCGTCCATGTTCCAGAGAGATCTAACATCTCAACGGCTGATACTATATCCCACACGCAACTCAAACCAAGCAAAAAAGATAATGAAGACTGATAAGTAGCACTACAGCTAACAGGAAAACAATATAGATGTTCTGAAAGTCTTTAATCAGGCAGTGGGTTGGACTCACCCCAGGATCAGAGAAGACTCGTGAGAGGGTCTGGTGGTTGAAAACGCCGCTTTGAAGAAGAAGGCCACCGTGATCCGAGCTCTGTCCACTCAGGACCAGAAGCTTCTGGGCTGCAGAGTCGGTGACCAGAGACTCGATCTGACACACACACACACACACACACACACACACACACACACACACACACACACACACACACACACACACACACACACACACACAAACACACACACACACAGAGGACAGTTAAAGGAGAGACAACATTGCCACATTACAAAGAGAAATGTCTGTATCACTGGCAAATAAATGACCTTTAATTATGTCAAGGTTAACCCGATTTGCCAATGTGTTCTCTGCAATAAATACGGACAAATATAAAAGACACAAAGGTCATCAGGGTTTCTATTATTGTATATCCTTGACAAATGTAAGGGCCATGATTTGCTGGGATCTTAACACAATACTAGTATGCATTAATTCCCTGTCCAGATTTACATTATTGCTTTCTTTAATCCGATAAATCCTCATTTAAAATATGATTATCCAATTTAGAGTTTTTTCTTTACTGGCAAAATGTAAACATATTCACACTCAAGGCAATTGACATGCTCGACAACTGTGGCCATTTATCAGAGAGCTTATTTGTTTAAATGCCACACGACTCATTTCTAAGTAAAGAATTAGACAGCAGGGCCCTGTATTCCAGGATATGATGAACTTACCTCTGATACGACAGAATCTTCTGAAGGGTTGACCAGCACTACGGTCTCTAAGACATCACTTCTGTGGTGGAGAGTCCTTTGTCCTGAAGCAGAAGATTGAAAACATAATGTCAACACCTTGTGTCAATAAAGCACTTCAGACGAAGATTAAGATTCAACTCCATCAAGACCTGAAGGTTGGACATCCAGCTGGACGACATTGAAGTCGTTTTAAATTGTGCCAGTTTTTAATGATGTATAATAGTTTCTTTTATTTGCATATTGATTGGTTGATGTGCCATTTCATTTGTGTTTTACGACCACTGTATTCGTCTGCCTGTATTGTCTGTGTTTTATCTGTGTAACGTTGTTCATGCTCCCCTTCTTGGCCAGGTCGCTCTTGGAAAAGAGATTTGAATCTCAATGAGACTTTTACCTGGTTAAATAAAGGATATATATATACATCCAGACCTAATCCAGGAAACCTCTTTGAGTCAGGGAGATGTACTTCACTGCATTCTGCATTGCATGTGGGACAATCACGAGAGAGATGAGCAACCCACCCACGTGTGCATCAACGCAAGGACAAAAGTAGGAAATGGGTCACTGTCGTCTGTTGGGTGAAAATGTAACTATTTTAAAAATCCAGGCAAACTGATAACCTACCCCTAACCCCTGGATAATTAATGTATTCTTATTGTGATTCTGATACGTTTTTTCATACATTATCTTACACTATCCCAATTTAAACACCTGCTTTTCTGGACACAGACAGAAAGAAACGCCACTTGCAATTTGGTCCTGCTTAAAGGTGGGGTAGGTAATTTTGGAGAAACCAGCTCGAGTGCGCTAGAATTTGAAAATGCACAGCCGGAAGAAATCGGCTACTTCCTTACAGAGCCCCTCCTCCAACACACACGAACGCGCACATGACCAATGAGGGCACGAGATAAGTTTGTGCACAGATGGAAGGCTGACAGGCAGGTAGGCCATCCAGTTATTTTAGCCGGGCCGCCTCAGATGATTGGTCGTGCTTTTTACAGCGCCACGGCTTCCACAGATGACATTTTTTATGGATTTTTTGTCAAAGCACTTCAGATATTCATTGCTATCGGGATGTTAAGAGCATTCCATGGAATATAACAAAAATTGTATCTCGAGCCGGTTTCTCAAACTTACCTTCCCCACCTTTAAATAGGTTTCTAATTTCTTTATTCCAGGCCAGACATATTAACAATTATGTCAATAAAAACCCAAATGCATTCAAATGTGCACACAAGACCACAGGAAACATCACTAAATGCACTTCATTGTTTAACATACATTGTTTCCACACATCCAAATGCATATTCATTGTAATCATGCATCAGCAGTTAATTCCACTCAGGGCTGATGTTAAGCTTTTAACTCCCCTTTGTTTCAGCACAGATGCACGCTCTAATATTAGACAGCTCTAATAATAGTGGTCTCTCAGTGACCCTGCCATCCCCTGAGTCTGCGGTGCTGCGCCATCTTTTTTAAGATCAGGGCTGAAGACATGAGTTTTCCACGAAAAACATCTGATGTAAATTGTTCTCACGCTTAGATGCATAAACGACTGGGACAATTAAAAAAACTATAAAGAAGAATGTTATACAGTAAAGATGCATGAGAGAGAAAACTTATATCAGGAAGGTAGCGCAGTATTTAAAGGGTCTCTATCATGATCATTTTCAGCTTCATATTTGTATTTAGTGTCTCTACTGTGACANCCGCTGCTGTCCCCATCCCCCCCCCCCATCAGATACATGGAAACAATGCAGAGTGCTGAGAGTCCGTCCGGCGTGCCCACGTCTCTCAGATCAGCGTTCACTTTCACTCTCAAACACAGCTTTACTGGACGGGAAACAGTGTTGGTCACATTGGGAGCACAGAGGACTTAAGAGGCCCCTGTACATACTGCTGCGGCTTTCAGATGGCCGTCTATCACTCAGGCCATAAATTACAAAATATCATACATTGTCTTCGTTTATTTTACAGGAGTTTAGTGCACATTTAATCAAGCATTGTTCTGTCTGCAGGTTATTTTTTTCATCTGTAGTCTCCTGCGACAGATTTTTGTATAGTCAAATTCTAAATACACATTTTCATTTAACAAGTAAATAGAATAAGACCATTTTGTTTCTGTTTTGGATGAAAGTGTCAGGGGCTGCCACGTCTCTCAGATCACCGTTTCACAAACTACAGCTAACGGACGGGAAACGTCGGAGCGGGTGGACATGGGGAGCACAGCGACTTAGAGATGGCCCCCTGTAATACTTGGCGGTTCTCAGAAGTGGTCCATTTACCAATTCAAGACTATTGTTTTTTCATTCCTCACTTTTTCTAGTTTTTTGTAATGTCATAAAGGCTAGAGCCTGGAGGCGAATGGCTAGGTTTTTTTGTGTGGAGTGACGTTTGCCTAGTTGAGTTTCAGAAAATATCATAAGGTAATAACTTCTAAACACACATAGCTGCGGAATCATGGTACAATAGGATACAAACATTCTCTACTTCAATGCCCTTTGAAACAGATTTAGCGGTGTGGTGAACATGTGCCTTTGCCGGCTGATATCTTTACTGGTTATATTTTTTGTGAAATTTCATAAAAAGATTATTTTTAATTCCATAAAATCATAAACAATGCATTAGTGTTTCACAAATAAATCGTCTCCAAAAAGTCCACAGAAGGCGGTCCAAAGGTTTATTCTATATCTACTTTATTGTAACAAGCCCTTAAATGATTACACTATATACAAGAGTATATTTGATAGCACTGCACAAACATGTCACATTTTATGTCCAAGCTTTGAATTTCTAATTATGGATAATTTTTTTGTACGATAAGTGTGGCTTCATTGTGGTTTTGTCACTAGCCTAGAAGGTCAGAATTCATCATTTTGAAGGCAGTTTTTCCAGGCCTCTTCCTAACGCAGCGTCCACACGGCGGCGTGGGATGAAGCTTTCCGGCGGGCGTGTCTGAAACTCGACCAACAACCAATCACATGAATCTCCCGCCCCGGACACACAAGCACGCGGTTTGATTGGCTAGAGCTTGTACTGGCATATGATTTGATTTGCTGACGCTTCCGCCGAAGCTTCAAAAGTTGAACATTGCTCTACTTTTGAAGCGAGCGAAGCGAAGCAACGCTCCCACAATGCAGTTCGGCAAAGCGTGACGTCACCCCATTCAAAGTGAATGGGCAGAAAGGTCCGGTGCCTTGCTCAAGGGCACCACAGCAGGGCCGGAGGTGAACCGGGACCTCTCCAAGTAGCAGTCCACACTCCATTTTTAGGACCGGCGACCCTACAGCTCCCAGTCCAAGCCCCTACTGACTGAGCCACTGCCGGACTCCACCTCAGCATTTTCCATTTCCTTACCAATATTTTATTTTACTTGGACATTTCTATTTGTAAATCTAATATTTTAACAGATAAATCACTCTATGTTATGTTATCTTTTTATTCTACCTTTAATTCATTTTGATATCTAAATATTTTTATTATATTTTCCCCCTTTAGTCTCAATATAAAATGGAGTAAGAATCACAAAAACCCAAATAAATAAAGTATTCTGATTCAGATTTTGATAAGGGAAGTCACAGAAGACCTTATTATTTATACATTAATTATGATTTTCAGGTGTATTTTAAGGAAGGTTTTTGGAGGCCTACTGCAACATTGAGAATTGCAAAGTCACTGCTGGACACCACACAGAAATCAGTGCGGTAGTCACAACAAAAATCCATCATCACCGCTCCAGTGATTTAACCTTTGGCTCTGTAAATGAAATGTAAAAAACAAGCATAAATCAGAGCCAATGATGAGTCAGCTCCAGGGTCCCCTCCCCTCCACTGAGATGCACACAGTGTGAAGCTGAAGCCTCCTGGAGCAGTAGCATCTGTTTCTCAGCTTAAAAGTGTTTGTTTAAAGAGTCCTTTTGAAGAGTGCGATGTTCTGCCAAGCTGCCCTCGTCTATTTATCCTTTTCTGGCATCCCAGACATCCTCCTTTCACATGAAGTGACTCTCAGCCAAAGGCGTTTGGAGAGAGTTGTGAAAACGTCGACACTGGCTGATCATCTCTATGCACCATTTTAAAATACCTCTGCTCCCTGCTTACGTTGTCAGCTGAATCTTAAATACTTCTTCTCATCATATCAGTTGCTCTTGCGGCTCGGTAATACGCCGGTGATTTTCAACATCAAAGCTGCGCATATCATTATCATTGTGACATATTCCTGCAGTTTCACTGAGTCCACAACAACAGACACGGCGACAGACTAAAAGGTGGGGTAGGTCATTCACTTCAGATACACTTTTTGTTATATTCCATGGAATGCTCTTAACATCCCGATAGCAGACTGACATAGGCACACAGGGGGATAGGGTCATCTGCTGGAAGCCGTGGCCCGCCTGGTAAAAAGCACGGCACCAATCATCTGAGCCGGCCCGGCCTAAAAGGTAACTGGATGGGCCTACCTGGGCCTGGTCAGGGCCTTCCATCTGGCTGCCCACAAACTTATCTCGTGACTATATGCGTCATGTGTGCGTTCGTGTGTGTTGGAGGAGGGGCTCTGTAAGGAAGTCTGAAGGAAGGGGCAGATTTTTTTCGGCTGCGTATTTCAAATTCTAGCACACTCGAGCTGGTTTCTTCAAAATTACCTACCCCACCTTTAAGGATAAAAACAAAAGTTCTGCATCTAAAAAGCTTAATTTCTGTTTATGAAGTCTATGTTTTAAGTGCCATTGAGTTTAAGTTGAAAACACATTTAAAAGTCTAATGTTTGGGACAATATTTGGCAACACCATTTATCATTTGACTCAAATATACCACGTCACTTCTCTAAAGAAATATGTTGTTGATTATCGGCCGACATTTCGTATCAGCCATGACGATGAACTTTGCCCCGTGTTGGTTGTTTGTTAATTAATACGAATAATGAATGTACTTTTTAACTTAATTCATGATCATTACTTATTTATTTTGTCATTGTCACAAAACCCTAAAACCCTGTAACCAACAAAGTAGGTTACAAATCAATACTGGTAGTTCCTGTTTTAGTCATTTCCTAAAACAGTAGAT